TGTGGCCATGTTCTAATTTAAGGTTCATTGTCCCTGACTGTGCTTGAAATGGCACTGCTGTTGCTTCCTCTGCAATAGCTGGCAGCAAATAATGATATTTTTTTATCCCTTAAATTCTTTTTTGCTTTTCTCTTACCTATAACAGGACCCTAATCAATCTAATCTTAAAAGTTAACCCCTAATGATATTTTAAAATAATTGTCTCATTTTCTTAGTTCATACTTGCCTCTACCTACAGTGGAGCTTTAAAATGCTTGGACTACTTAAGCGCTGATACCACTCTTCTGTCCTTTTAGGCTTACAGGTACCCTGACTAGCACTTCAGCCAGATCACTTGTCTTACTAGAATGTCAGGTCCACTCATCAGTTCTGGCAACCATTACACAGACGTCAGTTGGTACAATTCTGTCTTACAACACCAAGACCTATAACTATTTTGTCAGCTTTTTAAAGTAACCTTCAACTTTCCCAGTAAATACTTAAGTCTAAGGCCACCTCGTAAGTAAAACTGAAGACGAAGCTGCATAGTTTCTCTTCTGTCCAAGCAAACGAACATAGCAGAAGTGAATTACAGAATAAAGGCTTTTAGGCACAAAGTATGGTGACATATTTGCAATGTGTCTTGTGAGTACCTAAGAAAATTGTGTTCTTGCGTACTAAACTTTACTTATCCTAAAGGTATTAAGACTTGGAGTGATAAGCGTGTTATAATCTGGCTCAGTGTTTTGCTGGGATGGCTAAATGTTTTGCTGTCTACGCAAAAGGCGCAAACCACCTGTTTTCTATTTGTATCAGGTCCTTTTTGTAGCTTTGGAAGCTAAATCTCTTGAGTTTGCATAGTATGTTATGTTTTAAAAATACTGATTTAAAATGTTGTATTATTGTAAATGACAACTATATAACTATGTATGGCTTAGTATTTTCTAGCCCTGTATTTAAATAGGGCAAAGTAGCAGCTTGTATGAAAACCAAGCATAAGGAAAACTGGAAGGATGTAATAGAAATATTCTTGAAATGTAATTCTGGCTGGCAGCATCTCTTGAATTTAAATCTGAACTTCATTACTTGTATCCAGGTTTTGCGTGTATTCAGAGATGTCTGGAACAGTAGTGTTCTTCATAAGCTGGTTTCTTTAGCTCTTTTTTCATGCAGCTATCTCAAATGCCGTGACATTAAACTTCCCTTTTTTTAAGGGAACTGGAAAAAAATAAGATAGGATGCTATTTTCAAAATGTCTTACCCTGCATATTTCATATAAAGAATATGGTTTTGCATTTTAATTGGAAATTATTAGATTGCACTAACATGTCAATTGTGTGACAGTAAGCAAAAATTTCTTGTACTTAGAGCAGAATGTTGGTCTTCTCTGAAGTCTCTGTATTTAAAGGGAAGGGATGGGGGGAAAGGACCCAAATAGCACTTCCTCTCTCTCCCTCCACCTCCCAACAACCAACCTTGCCTTTCGTGTCTGTTACATCAAACGGCATACTTGCTTTTGAAATTGATTTTAAGGGGAAAAATGGGCTGAAAATGATAAAGGATGACTGTACAGTGATTTAAGCAGACTATTTCTTTTGATTTTGCAGTAGCATTATTGATTCCACGGAGTATAGCCAGCCTCCAGGCTTCAGTGGCAGTTCTCAGGTAAGGTAATACCTATGTCTGTGCACAGAGGGATAAGGGGGAGGGAATGCAAAGGTCGAGGAGAGGGTGGGCACAATGCAGTCCAACTCCAGGATGCCAGTCAACTTGACTCTTACAAATCTAGCGTCTTAACTGGTCATCTCAGCAAACTGGAGCATTCCTACAGCTGTAGGAATGGCTGTGCATGCTTATGACTGTTCATATGGATGCAAACGAAAAATTGGTGTAATATGTTTAGACATATGACTTAATTCCCAAAGCTGACTCTTTCAGAGGAGAGGGTTTTTTTGAAGAGGCCACTCTTAAGGAGGGAGGGGTTATGTTTTGATGTTTCATCCGTTCTCCCATATGAGCACTTGGGGAAAGGCAGTACATCTCTGACACTTTGCATTGATTTCGCTAGCTTTGGATTAGTTTAGTTTAACGTTTAAAAACAAGAAACGCTTGTTCTGCAAACATGCAGTTGTCTTGAAGTGCATCAATTTGGGGGCCTTACAGACAGTATTAAGAATTTGTATAGCTTAGGGTAGTAAGTTCAGTGTACGGTGAAGCTGTTTGGCAGGCAGCCTTCAGACTTGGTCTGATCTGCAGGGCCACCTGAATGGCAAACAGCGCTGCCATACATAGTCCTACAGCTCAGTGGTTCAGCTGGGTTGTAAAGATGGCAGTGGTATCCAGCTCAGCTTCAAAAAGATTTAACGGTTTTGAGTTAGACAGCCTGTTGGTTGCATGGTAACTAGTGTCTTTGCTCTGGTAGTGGGCTATCCTTTGCACAACAAAGCAGTAAACAATTGGCAAATTAACAGATAAAAGTGTTGTTGCATCTTGATGATAGCGTAACTGATTTAGAGAAAACACATCGATCCTGGACTGACATTGGTGCATGCAGGTGCCTTGTTTGCAGTGAACTGGTAATTAGGAACTTCCCTCTGTTAGTCTATGAAAAATGTGTGTTATTACTGCTCCTGTGGTCTGTGGGCTTTAGCTTAAACATAGAGTTATAGCTTTACCTGCTTTTAAAGGGTATGCAAAGCTTGGGTGGAGATTATATGTGTAGAACTCTGATATGGTATGGTGTGTGTTTGGCCTCCATTGATGTTGCTTGTATTTATACTTAGCCCTTGAAGTGAAAGTGAGAGTAAATAGCATAACTGCAGTAGTAAACACACAAAACAACCTAGACTTCAGTTGCTTTGTATGACAGCCTTATTTGTGTGAGAATAATCTTTTTTTGTCCTTGAGAGCGCAAGATCTCCACTCTAGTGCAAATTTTCTAATTAAACTTTAATGTATTTTTGGATGAGGAGTTAACAGAACTTTTGAAGTTAAGAAGCATTTAGTTCAAAGATGGTCTCATTTCAACAAGACTTTGCAGTGAAAAATAGCACTAAGAATATAAACTCAATTGCATTGTTTTTCTTAATTGTCAGTCATGGTAAGAAATCTTACATTGGGCACTGCCAGCAGTAAGAAGCTATACTGGAATGAACAGCATAGCTTTCTTTCATGATATAATTAGCTTTGCATTGCTCACAAATGTGGGAACATGTTCTTAGGGAAGGATTTGTATAGCGCCATGCTACAGGACAGTTTTTCTCTCCAATTTTGAGATTCAGAAGTAAATAACAGGAAAATCACATAGGCCCTTAGGAATTTTGCAAGTCGTACTTAGTAGTAATATCTTCCTCTCCTGCTAGAAGTAAGGAGCTTGTATATAGCTATGAAGTTTTCTTCACAGTTGTTTTTCTACTCTTTAGGGCAGCTAGTAGAGTCCAGACAGCAAAGTAACTCTTGCTAACACAGTAATCCTAACTAATGTCCTTGATTGGAACAGCTGGAGTAGGCTTCTCAGGTCTCATAATGAGCATAGTGAGCACTGAATAAAAAGCACTGGGGTGTTTTTGTCCTTTCCCTAATTTCTCACTCCAGTTTCCCAGGAGTAAAAAGTAGCCAGGGAGCACCCTTCTTTACTTAGAAGCTCAATACATGTTTTGTACAAGTGTGAGCAGTTAAAAATACTTGGCTGCCCAGCATCTGATCAAGATGGGTTAATACAGACTGTCTCAGCATGACTGAGTTGCTGTGTGCCAGTTTGAGACCTGTTCCAGTGTAATTTTCCTCTTAAGTTAAAGTAGATGTACTGCTTAGCAGGTAAACTACTTTAAATGATTGATTCCTCCTCACTGTGGACTAGAACCATGTAGCAGATCAGATTCAGACTTGGGTTATATTGCCTGTTGTATTGGAGGCAGTTTGTCTTAACTCGAGAGTGAAGTGATTGCTCCCAGATACTTTCAGTCATCTTGAGCCCTAATGACTTACAATATGTTGTGAGAGGCTGGAGCACTTGCAAGGCTGGTGTGCAAAACTAATACAAACATGCTGTAAAATGATTCTGTTAAATAATCCTCAAAGCTGTAAAATTTTAGAAATTTGTAGTTAAAAGGAATTGAGGTAGAAATACTTCCCAGTGTTTTAGATGTGTTTTGAGATTGCTTTCAAGATGAAACAAGTTGTCTAGAGCTTATGTGCAATCAGCATGAAGCAGAGGTCCTGAAGCTGAGTCACAATGTTGGTATATAGCCAGGGGCCTTCTGCAGTAAGTAATGTTTGGAGATGTCATAGCTTGGGGTTTGCTTTTTTTTTCCCCTGAAATACTAGATTATTATTCATACTGTTACAAGCCAAATTTCAGTGGAGCAGGAGCCTCTAAACTTCATTTAATCCTGTTCTTGTTGACTTTCTTGATGATTGTCATATAAGGGCAGCCCATTCTCCTGTGCGAACTGTCAAGAAATCTTCATCATTCGTGGTGCATGCTGATTGTGTTCTGTTAGTGCTATTGAATGGCAGTCTGGGCCTTATCCACTCAGGTGGTTCTCGTTGTATGTTTTGTGTGTGGTCAGGGACATTACTAGTAGTTCTTTAGGAAATCCATGAGCGAAGGCTTGTTAGTTCTTTAATTTTGTGAAGTTTCCCCATTAGCTCTGAAGATCCAATATGTGAGACTTCTAAATATAAGCTACAACAAGGTGTTTTTCATGCTGCTTTTGTAGTAGAGGAATTTGTATCACTAGTTAGGAAAAGAAACAAGTATCTTATTTTCTGTTTTACTTCAGGAGGAGAGCTTGCTTATGTAGTTTCAATGCTTTGCTGCTTCTGCTCCCCAGCATTGCTGCTTGTGTAGGCTGGGAAGCGCTTATGACGAGTTTCATAGACTTCATTGCAATCAGCCTTTCAACTTGATGGTGTCATAGTCTACTCCTGCTTTTATCCTTACTTGCTTAGCTCCCCGAAGGTTGCTAGCTGTCTGTTCTGTGCTTGAGGCCAAAACCTGTACATCTGCGGAGATTGAGAAAAATGAACTGTTTAAGAGTAGCTTTTCTCGTTTGTAGTGTGAGAGGTCACAACGTGAAAACCTGAGAATACCTGTATATAGTAGCAAGATCTTCTTTATCATCGTTTTAGACTTTTAACCTGCTGTAAATAATGTATGAATTGTTTATAACACAGTAAAATCTGAAATAGAACCCAGGCCTGGCTTTACCTTTCTGAAGAGGTGTGTTCTCTGTTCTCCACTCAGACCAAAAAACAACCATGGTATAATAGCACGCTAGCCTCAAGACGGAAGAGGCTCACAGCTCATTTTGAGGACCTAGAGCAGTGCTATTTTTCCACAAGGATGACACGTGTCTCAGGTGAGTTCCTCTTGCATGGTGATCAGCTTCTGAGTGCTCTAAAAGGCAACTTCAGAACAGGCTCACTTTGGAGAGCAGCTTTCACTTTTTCCTTGTAGGAGTAATTCCTATAGGAATGTTACTATACATATTTATCCATGTTGCTCAAATCATCCTCTCTGACTGGTCTTTTGAGGCTTCTAAATAACACGATTAGATTTTCTACATTTAGGAGGGGCACATATTGCATTGTGCTGTGAAGGTTACATAACCATAATAAACAATTTCAGTGATGCTTGCTCTAAAGAGGCAAAAGTTTGAAGCCAGACGTTGGGTAATCTTTCTACTAGATGTGGTATAAATGCAGTAGTTAAAGCACTGCTATCAAAATACTACAGAGGTGTAAACACAAACTGACAAATTCTCTCCTATTAAATATGCAATAGGTATTAGCCTTTTATGAACTTTCAGAACTTGGAGGTTATTCTGTGTTGTCTAGATTGTGAGTCTTTGTTAACAAATGGCTTACAGAAGTATGGAAGCTGGGTATGCAGCAGCAATCTCAAGCTCTTGTTCCATGGGGCACACCTTAGATTTAAGACTTGTTTTGTAGAATTAGAAGCTGTTTTCACAGTTGCCTAGATTGTCTCAGTCATAATTGAGTAACAGCAGCTAGAATAATTGTTACATAGTGGATAGATGGTACCTAATCAATGGCAAGTTTCTTTAAGAAATGAGCTGGTCAAATGAATGCCTGTTGAGGGAGAGGGAGCAGCTCTGTGGCTGCTCTGGGGAAGAAACATGGCAAGAAGGTTTTAGGCAATGGGCTGTGGCAGGCAACAGACTTGCAGCACAGAACTGTGAGCTACAGCTCATGCAAAGAGTCACGGGCTGCAATGAGGAGCAGGGAGCAACCAGCCAGCACTCAGGGGATGGGAGCAACTTCCTAGGGACAAGAAGGAACCACATAGAGGTTGCTGAGATAGTGTTTTGTAGCCAAGCCTGGAAGCCAAGGACCAATCTCTCATGACACAGATTAATAGGAGAGCTGGGAGAGAAACTTTCCCCTCCTCCCCTTTTTTCTCCCCATGGACTTTGTTTGTTTGCGTTTTACCCATTTTAAAAAGTTAGACTTGATAATTTGGGAGTCCAGGTAAAACTTGCCTTTAAGTTCAAAAAAAGCCTATGAAGTGTTTTTGGGGGAGCACACTGAGGTGGAAGGCATAGGCATATCTACCTCAACACAACAGCTGACTCCAGGTCGCATCAAGCACTGCAAAATTATTTTAGCAAAGAATGCAACAGGTTGAAAGGTGCCTTAGTAGCTGGAAAATCGGAGAAGTCGATTATATGCGACCTGCTGTTTTTCTGTAAGGAGCTAGCAAGCGCTTTGCAGACTACAGTGCTTCACAGATCATACGGTGACATTTTTACACAGTGCTATCTCTGTGATACGTAAAGTGTGTTTATGCTAAAGTAATACTCTTATTAACCAAGAATATCAAATTGGCCTCTCTCCAGCCTTCCCTTGTGGAAGACCTCTTTCTTATGAACCTGATGAAACTGAACTTCTATACACATAAATAAGGGTAGGGGATTTGCAAGTGCAGTTTTTCTCCTAAATAAGGAGTAACTTGTGATAATTAATTAGGTTTTTCTTTAAGAGTTGTTCCTGCTTTTTGACACACTTTAAATAGGATTTCATGTGGGTATAAAGCTTTTGGCAAGAGATGCCTGTGACTGTTCTAATAGGGAGCGGAGAAGTAATATAACCGTAATTATGAAATGGCCTTGCACTTTGACAGGGAAAAATGCCTTGAGAAATAACATTCCATTTTCCAGGCATGGATGTAGAATAAACTATAGGAAAGCGGTATGCTTGATCTCTAAATAAGGGAAATGGAAGAGTAGCAGCTATTTGCTCTTATTCAAGTGTCAGAGGCAGAAACAGTCTCTGAAAAATAGTGACTGCTGCTGTTTATCTACTGTCTCCTTCTCAAGCTGGTTTCTGCAGCGGTCAGGTGCTGATGACTTTAATGTAGAGCAATACTTTGTTCATTTCATGCCATTTAATCCATCTGAAAAGTGATGTATATGCTAGTACCCTTAAGCATCCTCATTACTAGGCTTCACCTTTCCTTTATAGAATCAAACATTAAATAGCATATAAGGGTCACTTCAAAATGCCATACAATTGTAGATCAAGCTCCTTTCTGAGGGCAAGGAGTTACTGGGGTACAGAAAGTGTTTGTTCTTTTTGTGTTTTCCCACCAAAAAAAAAAAATCACTATGCTGTTCTGTTCTACCTTAACCTTTCCCCTTTTGCTCTCTTTTCATCTTGGTATTTCCAGAGCTTTCTAGTAAGTTGAGCTTTATCTCTTTCTTAACTTACTGATAAGTAACTCTTAACTATTTGTCATCTGGACGGTGCGAGTGAGTTGGGTGCACTAGTTGCTCTGCTGCTTCAGTCAACACTGGCAAGCCTGGTTTAAGAGCAGGCAAGATGGTGATAGTGCGACTCAGCACCTTGGACTACTTGTAAACTGAGCTCCGGTGTGTCAGATCTGAGAGTTAATGGAGTGAACAGTGAGCTCTTTTGCATTGTAGTGGTGCAAAAGGCAAAGCAAACGTACAAGTGTTAGATGAGAAGAAGGAGAATTCCCCCAAATCCTGGGGGTTGTTACAATGCCTGAGGACTCTACCTAATGCTTGACCGTTGATACATGATCGTATTAGGAAGGCTGGCTTGTCCATGTAGTGCTGCTGTAAGTTTGGGTTTTTTCCTCTTATTTAGGAAATGTTAAAATTAAATCATTTAAATAAAATTCTGTTCATACTGACAAAACTTGTGAGGAATGGGGAATGATTTGTAGTTCTCTATGCTGCAATTTAGTTCTAACTTTTGTGGTAAATGGTCCCATTTTCCACAGACTATTTATCATTATTTTTCAAGCTGGCTCAGTTTCGCTTTGCCTGCAGAAGGTCATAATTTTCACAAAACTTATAGCACAGGGAATCTTCTCATGTCATGCTTGTCTCTCTTCTCCAGCCCTGAAACAACTCTCCCTTAGCTCTATTGCTTGTGGAATAGGAAGAGAAATATTTTCTCTAGAAGTATTTTGAATGTAATTGACACCAAATGGAGGCATATTGTAACCCAGATACAGGGAAAGGAATATATTTTCACCTCCATAGATTATTAGACATTCTTGAAATGCGTTTTGATATGCTTAAAGGTTTTCTGTTAATAATCTTTCTGGCCTGTGAGCTCTGAATTTGCATAAAATGAGTGAGCTTCTCTACCTGGAAAGCTATATTTTTGATCTCTAGGCAGCTCCTTAATGAAGTAGCTTTTACCAGCTTGTATTGGAAAGACTTAATTTATGCTCTGAAAACATTTCCTGCATTCAGTGAACGCTAAAGCTGAAAGAATAAAGTTTTTTGAGCAACAATCCTCCCCAAATACCAAGCAGAGGTAGTGTCATGTGAACACTTGCATCTTGATGATTCTTGCTTTTGTTGAGTCCATCTTTTTCTGTCCTCCTCAATTCTGTTGCCTCTCCCTAGATGACAGCAGAACCACAAGCCAACTGGATGAATTTCAGGAGTGTCTATCCAAGTTCACACGCTACAACTCTGTCCGACCCCTGGCAACGCTGTCTTACGCTAGTGACCTCTACAATGGTTCCAGCATAGTGTCCAGGTAAGAAATGAGTTTGACAGTGCATCTCATGAGGACATATAAACTGCTGAGGCTGAGTTAATAGCTTATGCTGAACAAGATATGGCCTGTACATACGTAACAGTTTGCAGCGGTTTCCCCAAAATAATTTTGCAAATGTATGATTATCACTGATCAGTGAAAGCACTTAGCTACCACTATAGGAAATTCTCTTCCAGGTGCTATTGGTCAGGACTCAATACAGAACCTTTGAGATGCCAGTGAATATCAAGTAGCCTTTATATGAAAAACAGGAAGCCTATAATAGGCTCCATCATCTTTGTGTTAGTATAGTTGTGTTTTAAGTGATGTCGTTCTAGCATTTTTTTAAAAAACGATATTGGTATTGGTAGTTTTGCCTAAGCATCTGTGGTGTTGGTGTAAATGTTGGTGGATCCAATCGTTATGGTGAGAATAAATAGCTGAGTCGTTTGTAACTGCAATTGCTTGAACTTTGCTAAGTGTTGGAAGCTCTGTTTACAATGCTAAACACCCCCAGGATGGGGGGGGGGGATGGTGGTAACACCAACTGAATAACTATTGGCAAAGAAACGCTGCACCCCCTGCCGTGGGGCATGGTTGTGTCCTTTGCACCACTGCTGAAGCTCGTTGGAACCTTCAGTGCCCCAATGTAGACATTTAAACTGGTAAAATGCTATTGACTGTCTCTTAATTGAATCAGTTTCTTCTAGTTTAGCTCTGGGAACCAGCTCCCTGAAGGATCAGGCCTAAGAGAACACATAGGATAGGGAGAGGCTGGAACTATCCAGTGGCCCTAACCTTAAACTGGTTTCAACAGCTGTGGAAGTGTACCCTGGAGGATTTAGTTAGTCTGAGGTAGCTTGTTCAGAACTGTCAGTGGTGGTGGAAAAAATGATGCAACATGTTAATTGAAATCTCTTTTCCTCATGGTATATATGGGAAGCAGTAGCTTCTTGTGGGCACACCTCACAATTTAAATGTGTTATACTCACAGTAACCTTCAGAGAGAATAGTAGTATCCCCATTTTATATATAGGGACCACGAGATCCAAAGTAGCAATACCTGAGATCTTGAAAGAAATACATATACAGTGAAATAATGAGTTGACCTTGGGTTTTTTGAGTCTTGACCTAATGCCCTAAGAAGAAGCTATTCAGATGGTGACAGAACAGCTTGGATACTGCTGAAAGCCCCTGAGAAACTTGCACTGTGTGAAGAAATTGGGGCATATGTAGCATGAAATACATGTGTTTTTTTTAAAGCAGCATTGATTCCTTAACTACTACAATATGTAGCCAGAATGTATAATGTCCGAATTAGTCACAGAGGTCAGAACACAATAATCACTGATCTGACGTATGTTTAACCTGCACTGATTGGGTTCACACTGGCTGCAGTGAAATGCAGATGGGAATCTCGCTGTGATGTAGACAAACTTCCTTAGCTACTGTGTTCTGCATGGATTGGATTTTGCTCTTCTGCCCTTTTTCTCCTTGACGTTCTGCAAGAGCAGCACTTTTGTGGTATTTGGTTAGAAAATGCTGGAAAGGCAGTAAATCTCACTCCCATTTTGAAGGCGTTAGAATAAGATTCTTGGGTGAAATACACATTTGAAAAGTGTTTTATTGTTGTTAAAAAGAAGGTATTTGGGCACCTTCCTCCAAGCCAGTGCTAGTAACAGTAGTTGTTTAATATTAAATGCACTTAAGCAAAAAATATTTTGGTGTGCAACTGAACGTTCTCCTCTGCCTATACTTTTTACTTATCTTTGGGTTTTTAGTATGTGAGCTGAGTAAGACTCTTCATGCTTGAGCATGTCTTTAAGAGTTTTGGTAAAGTAGGGCCACTAAATGTGCTGCTGTTGTAGCTCCTGTTTAGCTTTTGGCTATCCAGACAATTCCTTTAAAGTTTGAGTCTGTTAGTCAAGAATTTACATGTACGTTTGCCAACACACTTCCGGCGTTCACCATTCTTCTTTAGCCAAATTAAACTCAAGTTCAGAGAGAGACTCTATGAATCTAATAAATGGGAGAAGTGTGTTTCAGTGCCGGCAGTTCTGGGGTAGTAAACGAACAACTTTCAGGTGTCTACCTAAAAGATGAACCGAGCTGATTATCACAGGCTTTAAAAAGCTTTCTTGGTGAGAGAAATGCAGTGAAAAGTCTTACTGTTTTTCTGGTGGACTGCCCCGAGTACTCAGTACGTTCACAGGGCAAGCTGCAGAAAACGCTGACGGAAGTAATGACAAAAAGCAAATCTTACTGCTTAGTGGTTGTTGTTGAGACAATACATTTAAATCCAAAGCAAATATAAAATTAACAAATAACGAATCCTCGTCAATTAAAAAAAAGCCTATATCTTAAGGATATTTTAAGCACATTTCAGAATGAAAGTGGAACTGACTGAAAATTAAACTTCCATTTTTCTCTTTTTGAAACTTCCATTCTCTCTTTACAAATTAAGTAAAGAAACGATGTTATGAGCTGAATGAATGCAAAGAGTGTGTGTTTGGTTTACATTGCTTTAACTGCAGGTGAAGCTCACACACTGGATGTTGACAACTCCAGTGGCTAAACAAGAGGCTTTTAAGATATGTTGGTGTTATGTGTTACAAGGAAGATGATGGAAACATGTTCACAGTATGTGCAAAATCTAGATACTTTGAGTAGGGGGGGGGAAGGATTTATAATAACAAAATGGAAAGAGTAATTAAGGATGGTATACATAAACAAATAGGAAAAAACCTGACACTGAACAGCAGTAGTATTCTCCTGAGCTCCTTGCCGCGAGCGTATTTATGAATGATGAGACTTTACAGGGATGAGTAAAAGGTCACAGGTAACACAACATACATCCGTACATACTTAGTGTTATTGGTTTAAAAAAACCCACAAAATTCTGGTGAAGTACTAAGAAAGCTGCTGTTTTCTTTTGGAATGAAAATGTAAAGCAATGTTCAACTCAACAGTGCCCAGTTTCCCAAGCCTGGAAATCAGCTTTGCTGAAAAAGGCAAGCTTTGAGCCCTGCTTTTCCTTGCTTGCTGGCTCTGCAGTGGCTCTGCTCTTTGGGCAGCAGCCACACGGTGGCAGCCGTCGTTTGCGGGGGCAGCAGTGCAGGGCCGCC